AATAAAATAAAGTAAAGATAGCCTTGTAAGACTCACAAAACCTTGGAGGTGAATTGCACCCGACAGGATCTCTCCATTTTCCAAAAGTAGACTGCTGCTTGTTTGGACCACTTAATACTAACCGTGTGCACATGGAGGCAGAGCGGTTAAAGGCTCAGGTTCTAGAGTCGGGATGGCCAGAGCCTAAGTCCTAGTTCTACCACTCTTAGCTGTGTGACCTTGACCTTTGGCAAGTCTCCTAAGCTCTCTGAGCCCCACTTTCCTCGCTTGTATAAGGAGGACAGTAAGACTGTTTATTTAGTGGGTTGTTATGATGATACAATGAGATCCAGCATTTAGCACAAAGCCTGACACAGAGTAAAATTCTCAGTCTATCCTAGGTATTATTATTATTACTATTTTTCATGCCTTTTCTTAACAAGGGAACACGTCATTGAAGCTCAAGTCACAGCAGCACATGCCATTTGTGTTCACTACCGTGTTGGGCTTACATCTTTTCAGAAAATAAGAACTGATGGATAAAGCCCTGTGAAGGAGGAGAAAGGAGAATGTAGCATAATAGTACTAGAATAAAAATACCTGCTCCTGTTGCCCGGAGAGCAGTTCTAATAATGGCCACCTTCAAACACCCACCTCATGTCAGATAGTTTACGTGAGTTATTTCCAATCACTACTCTGCAAGATCTGTGTTATTATCTCTGTTTCACAGAAACAAAAATTGAAGTTCAGGGAAGTAAGGTATATTCACAAGGAACACATCATTGAAGAAAAAGAATGAGATTCAAATCCAGGTCTATCCAATGTCCATATCTGTCATTCAGCCCTTCGGCCCACAAAAACAGTGTCCAATAAGACAGATACCCAACCTCTGAACATACCACAGAGCTATCTCCTGTGAGGGTGGGAAGAAATTAGAGAGGAGGGAACCACAGGGGCCTTCAATGCTGAGTCACAGAGCAAAACAGTGACGAAAACCCAGTCAGTCCTCAAACACACACAGTATGAAAAGAAACGAAGATCATAGTTATTTTGGGGCTCATGCCATACAATCACCATCACCAGGGTTCTCTTTGAATCTGAACAATAACAGTGGCTTTCAGACAAAAGGTGCTAAATAATTAAAACACTGAATATGGATACTAAGTAACAATGATATGATGCTGTGTTACCTGGAGATAGCAGTCATACCTTACCTTACAAAGCTCTTCTACCTCCCCGAATGCCCATCAGCATTAAGTTCAAGGTAATAAAATGGGGGAATTCACATTGACTAAGTTGGGACATGGCCTGAGAAGAAGGATTAGGAGAGGCAGCCAAGACCAGCCATTAAATCCCTAGTGGACGTTCCAGTACAGGCTGTGGCTGGGACAGGAGCCAGTGGAAAAACACGTGGACATGTTGGAGGCCATCTTATTTGGAAGAACATGGTATTATGAATGTCTTTGTCTGATTAAAAATATACGGTCTCTCTAAGCAACCCTTTCCAGATCTGAATGTTGTCTGCCCTTCCGAAATAATTCATCCTCGACTTGAGTTATTCTCATTCTTTACTCAAGTGCTGGGTAGAAATGCTTGTGATGATAAAACAGAGAGCACAGGAATACATTTGCCTTGGGCACATGCTCTTAAAATGCTTCACAGCAATGAAGCCTAGAGGTCTGCCAGGAAATTTAATGAGAGAGTTGAGGCAAGCGCTACCTCTAATAATTCAGTACTAAAATTAGACATTCAACTGAAAAATTCAGGTAACCCAAACAAAAACAAGGGAGACTTTGTTTATTTAAATTATGAGGTTAATTGAGTCAATTCTCCAATTCCCCTCACTCAGGTAGACTTGGCTTGAGTGCATCAGTATCCATGGTGACTCATCTAATAAGTAAACTGCATTAGCTCTGCTACTAGCAGAGAGGGAAGAAAAAGGTCTTGAAATCTATCTTTCATGGCTTCCTTCCAGAGCAAGGGATTTCATTATATCCTGAAGACATGAGGCAGTTCAAAAAGATTTGAAATATGGAATGAGAAGGAGGAGGAGGAGGAGTTTGGGCTTATACATTTGCTTTTTTAGTTTTGTTTTTATATATGAGAATCAGACACGAGAAACTGAGACTCGAGGGGGAGGCTTTATTCCTCTGGTCTAGGATTTTGTTTGGGTTTGTTCTATGGTTGAGAGCATTCCAAAGAGTCCCCCCACATGAGGAAGCGTTCATGTTTACCCGTATGTCCATAATTTCAACTAAGTAAGCCGAGAGATCTTTTAAAAATACACATATATGACTTAATATTTCATGGCTGGAATGCAAGTGGATGGAACAAATGCATAAATGGTACCTGTTTAATAAATTCAGACAATGTGGAATGATAATAGAAATCTTCCTAAAAGAGGCGCCACAACGTCCTTGCAACAGCAGAACAGTAACTTGCTTTGCATTTGCAACCATTCACTTTTGAAAACCATTTTATGATTACAAGCATGTAAGCTATTCTAATTATTACTGTAAATAATTAATCATTCCTTTTGCAATCATTTATTAATTAGCTGTCATAACACTGTTGTGAGTTAGGTGGAAGACAGAGATTCAATATTCCGTTATTACCACCTAATTAAAATATTCATTGTTTTCCATATGTTGTTTATAGCTTTGCTTCCTCACACTTGATCACGGAATTCTCTAACAAGGAACAGTGTTGTCCATTTGCTTAGCGACATCGCCATCTGTTGTTAGGAAGTGGAAAAAAACCTTTTCTGGGTTCTTTATTCACAGGAACAATAGCTTAATCCATACCGCTCAGCTTTTATTTGAATTTGGAAAAGTTTGATCCACAAATTTCTCTCCCTAAAATCTTTTTATTGACTTTACTTGTCCTGTCTAAACTCTTCTGATGATTAATTTCATTGATATCATCTAGTGGTCAATTGAGTCCATTAACAAATTACAGTGAAATATTCATATTAAACCTCCATAGGAAAATACAAGATAGGAAATTAGCTAACTAATTTGGTTTACAATAAGTCATAATTGAGGGAAATTTAAGTTTGATCACCAGATAACCTATTGATTTACTTTATATTAACTCATCTTTATGATAAAAGCTCATGTTTGTTGAGTGATTGCTGAGTGCCAAGCACTGTTCATCCTTGAGACCATCCAATGATGCAGGCAATTTTTGTGCCCATTAACAACTAAGAAAACCATAGCCCTTAGAGGTAAAGTAATTTGCTGATGCAGACTTGTCTACTTAATATACAGGGTCCAGTACAAAATGGAAATATAGGGTCTCCTGTTCCAAAGGCAAAAAAAAAAAAAAGTGTCTCTGAACTTGTTATGATTTTCTTATTTCCTACTTAATACCAGTTTAACCAAAAAATAATTATTTTAAGTTACTAGTATGACATTTACCATTCATTTTTATATTGTACAATGTCAGTTTTAAGTGCAAATATAAGAGCATTTAATTCTTATACAAAAGAGCCAAAATTACAGTTTGTTCTTTTGCAGCTTATAGAAATGTATTTTGCTCTTACCGGAACAGTGAAAATGCTGCACAAAACTAACTCAATTGTTTTTATTTCACTTGATATATGCACATTCTAGAAACACTTTCTACCTTTGGCTTGCTGATGAGTCAAGAACTGAAAGGAAAAGGAATCATAAATTCTTTTCTTCTATGTCATTGTTTGCAGTATAAGTGGTTGGCTAATATGGAGAAATGATACGAGAGAGGACTTTGTGGAGTTCCCTGTCATTTGTGTTTCTTAGTATGCCCCTGCCTTCTTTCTGCATTTAAAACAAAATCTGGTTCAAATGGAAAGTCAATCACAGACATAACATGCTTACCTTATATGCACTTTGAGTCTCACTGACTCGCACGTGTCATGGGCTCACCAGAACTCTGTGCTCAGAGGCATTGCGAACGCTAAGGGAATGAGGTGACAGGCACGGTGGGCACCCATACTGAGCTCATCTTCTCTATTCACATGCTCTAACATCTTGTCAGACTACACTTATAAAACTTAAATTCAAAGATAAAACCATCAAGAATTTTAAGACGGAGACAGCAGAGCATTCAATCACGTGTGCGGCTCTCTGTGCACAGGACCCCTCGAGACTGCACAGACCACACACCATGAAGCGGTTCCAAGAAGAAGGACATGCACCGAACACAGGCGATCTGAATCCAGAGCTCATGTGCTTAAACAGCAGGTTCTCCTGACCCTCTGACTGTGCCCAGAGACACTGTCACAGGTTCTACGTTATCTGTCCATCATCTACAGAATTAAAATAAAGACCGTGGCAGACAGAAGGCCTTATGAGTCCAGCCTCCTCTTTTTGCAGGCAAGGGAGAAGCAGCCTAAAGAGCCAAGATAAAAGCCCCAGTGCCCTGGGTCCAGACCTCCTCAATCAAACTGTTAACAGGAACGCAGCATTCCTTCCTTTCACCACCCCTTCCCAGCCCACCGAGCCTTTAGCTGCTCACTCTTCCTTTCCTGTGCCATAGCAATCCTGCTCACTCCCTGTGCTGCAGGTGAGGTGGACTCCCACCCTCCCCACCAGGGGCCAGAGAGGGCCTTAGGCAGGCTCTACCAGGACCTCACCTCAGGTGTGGGGACCTCACCTCCTCCTCTGGAATCTTGAGGCACTGGGAGCGTGAAATCATTGGAGCATCCCATGGCCAACTTGTTACCATGTAGAGAGGGACTGTCTGAGAACAAGGTCAATGTGGAGGAAAGCAGAGTTGAGAGATGTAGAAGAACCCCTAAGAAAATACAGCTTTTCAGCACCTTGGTTGAATCCTCAGTTACACAAATGAGCTGATTATTCCTCCTTTTAGTCTTAATCAAACTTAAATCAGGGTTTTGTTACTTACAACAAGTAAGCCTGACCTAACACAAATGAAGACAGAGATTTTTGAACCATCATAGAAACATGGTAATTGAAGCCATAGTGAGAGTGTTGTGAAGAAAGGTCCAAAAGGTGAGGATTGAAGAGTGTACTGACCTGGCAGTTAGGAAGTCAGTGGAGGCTCAAAGCAGGAGTTCCTTGGGTGACGTTTCAGGTATTGATCCTAATAAAAAGAATGAACACCAACAACAATAACACACAAAAGTCCATTTTTCAACACAAAGTATGGTTCCTTCTCTTTGCCAGTCTCCTTACAAGGCCCAAGGACATTCCAGTCAATAACACAGACATAGTCTCTGCAGCTTCACTGAAGTTTACCATATAGTATAGACAGGAAGAGAGTAAAACATACTCAGAATAAATAAATTGTAGTACATTCATACAGTGAAATACTACAACAATCGAAATAAAATACTGCTACATACAGTAATCTGGGTCCATCCCATAGTCAAAACGAAGAAGCATCTATAAGAAGGCCAAAAACAAGAAAACTAGCTTCTGGTGTCCAGCTGGCATGGATCAGTGGTTGAGCATCGACCTATGAATCAGGAGGTCATGTTTTGATTCCTGGCCAGGGCACATGCCCAGTTCTGGGCTCAGTCCCCAGTGTGGGTTGTGCAGGAGGCAGCCGGTCAATGATTCTCTCTCATCACTGATGTTTCTATCTCTCTCTCTCCCTCTCCTTTCCTCTCTGGTATCAATAAAAAATACATATATTTTTTTAAAAACATAACTTTTAGCTTATGATGATAAAAGTTAGAAAAGAGAATCATTTACATGGGAAGGGTCACAGCTTTCTAAGATGTTGGAAACATTCTATAGCTTGATCTGGGTAGTGGTTCCTTGGATTTACACACATGTAAACATTCTTCAGGATCAGGTACTCTACTGGGTGTATTCTATATCCCAATAAATGTTAACAAATATCCCCACGTATAATTAATCATTTGTAATAAATGCTACCAAGGGAAACTACAGTGTTCCACAAGAGGACCTGATCTGATCTGTGAACTACAGGACATCCCCCAAAATGTCAGAAGTGGCAAAGAAGGGGTCACAGAGAAGAGCCTGTAGGAGGTGCTGAGGTGAGAAAAGCTTGATCACTGGAATATCTGAAAGAATGTTAAAAGGTTGGGTCACAAAAAGCAACAGAGGGAGCAGTGTGAGACAAGCATGAGGAGGTGGGCTTGGGCTGGGACCTACAGGGGGGCCTTCAAGAAGGAGACACATTATAGATTACTTAGAAAAGAGTGGCTGTCCAGCTTTTCTGCTGGATGAGTTGACAACAGAGGGTCTCTCTGTAGTGATATTTTATTTCCCAATTTGCATTAGGGGATCCTCACTTTTCTTGCCCATTCTGCTCCAAACAGCATTGCTACTGTATCAGTTTCTAACATCACACAGGATCATGCATGTACTCCTCCCCCAGATATAACCCAGGGGATGGACTATGTCTAAGTATAAAGATCAAGACACTTTTGCATAACCAGCCAGCATAGTCATCTAGTCATCTGTTCAGACAGGCTTCCTTAGGAACAACAGTACTTCACAAGGTATCAAATGGTATTTATAATCAAATACCTTGGTGAAATACTTAGTCAAAGTTACAGTTTTTCTACTGCAGGACTTCTCAAGGTGTTTCTTATGTTAATGTGCATTATAGTTTTCTAAGAGGTAGAAACAATGTGCAGCATTTAATTGATATTTTTAGAACATTTCACCTCAAAGCAGCAAAATATACATTATTTTCAATCACACATGAAACATTTTCCAGGAGAAGCCTCATGTTAGGCCACAAAACAAGACTCAATAAATTTAAGAAGGTTGAAATTATATCAAGCATCTTCTTTGATCACAATGGTATGAAACTAGAAATCAACTTCAAGAAAAAAAGCTGAAAAACAGACAAACACGTGGAGGTTAAATAACATGCTATTATACAATAAATGGGTTAACAATGAGATTAAGGAAGAAATAAAAAGATAGCTGCAGACAAATGAAAATGGAAACCTACTACCCAAAATCTATGGGACACAGCCAAAACAGTTCTAAAAGAGAAATTCATAGCAATACAGGCCTACCTCAAGAAAAATAAATTTCAAATAAACAACCTAACCTTACACCTAAAGGAACTAGTAAAAGAAAAACAAAGCACTAAATGAGTACAAGGAAGGAAATAATAAAGATCAGAGTGGAAATAAAGAAAGTAAAGTCTAAAAAAATACAAAAGATCAATAAAACCAAGAGTTGGTCCTTTGAAAAGATAAACAAAATTGATAAACCTTAAACCTCAAGATAAACCTTAAACCTCAAGAGAGAAAGGATCCAAATAAATAAAATCTAAAGTGAGAGTGGAGGAGTGACAACTGATACCACAGAAACACAAAGAATCATAAGAAAATAGCACAAACAATTAGATAAATTCCTGGAAGTATACAGCTGTCAAAGCTGAATCAAGAAGAAACAGAAAACCTGAACAGACTAATACCTACTAATGAAATTGAGACAGTAATAAAAAAAAAAAAAGACACCCAACTCTCAACAAACAACAGTCCTGGACCAGATGGTTTCACAGGTGAATATTTCCAAATATTCAAAGAATTAACACCTATCCTTCTCAAACTAGCCCAAAGAAATTCAAGAAAAGGAAAGGCTCCTAAGCTCATTTTATAAGGCCAGCTTACCCTGATGACAAAACCAAACATGAGGGATAAAAATCATATGATAATATAAACAGGTGCAGAGAAAGCAGTTGACAAAATATAACATTTATTTATGATGCAAGCATTCAGCAAAGTGGGAATAGGGGGACTATATCTTGACATAATAAAGACCATATATGTCAAACCCACAGGTAAAACTGTTTTCCTTAAGATCAAAAACAAGACAAGGATGTCTACTTTCACCACTTTTATTCAACATAGTATTGGAAGTCCTAGCCACAGCAATCAGACAAGAAAAAGACATAAAAGGAATCCAATTTGGAAAGGAACATATAAAACTGTCATTATTCGCAGATGAGATGATACTGTGTATAGAGAACCCTAACGATTCCACCAAAAAACTGCTAAAACTAATTAATGAATTCAGTAAAGTAACAGGATATAAAGTAAATACTTAGAAATCCATTGATTTTTATACACCAATAAAAAAAATCAGAAGAGAAATTTTAAAAATCCCATTTATATGTGATTTAAAACATTAAAAATAGTGATAAATTTAACCAAGGAGGTAAACATAAGAAATTGAGGAAAGTGATTAAAGAAAACACAAATAAATGGAAGTATATATTGTGCTCGTGGAAAGGAAGAATTAACATTGTTAAAATGTCCATACTGCCCAAAGCAATCTATAGAGTCAATGCAATTCCTGTCAAAATACCAATGGTGTATTTCACAAAACTAGAAAAGATAGTCCAAAAATTTATATAGAACCACACAAAAAAAACCCAATACCCAAAGCAATCTTGAGAAGAACAAAGTTGGAGGTATCATGCTACCTGACATCAAATTATACTACAAGGCTATAGTTAATCAAAATAGCATAAAAACAGATACATAGAGTAATGAAACAGAATAGAGAGCCCAGAAATAAATCCACACCTATATGATCAATTAATCTATGACAAAGGAGGCAAGAATATACAATGGGGTAAAGACAGTTTCTTCAATAAATGGTGTTGGTGTTGAGAAAACTGGACAGATACATACAAAAAAGTAAAAATAGACCATTTTGTTATATCATATAGAAGAATACACTCAAAATGGATTATAGATTTAAATTTAAGACCAAAACCATAAAACTCCCTAAAGAAAACATAGATAGTAAACTCTTTGGCATCACTTTTAGTAATACTTTTGGGACTATGTCTCCTTGGGCAAAGGAACAAAGAAAAAAGAAATACATGGAACTATATCAAACTAAAAAGTTTTTCACAGAGAAGGAAACCATTAACAAAATGAAAATATAACCCACCGAGTGGGAGAACATAGTCACAAATAATACATCTAATAAGGGGTTAATATCCAAAATACATAAAAAGCTCATATAACTTAACACCAAAAATAATAACAATAATAATAATAATCTAATGAAAAATAGGCATAGTGAATAGACATTTCTCCAAAGAGGACATATAGAAGGCCAATATATACATGAAAAGATGCTCAAGGTCACTAATCATCAGACAAATGCAAAACGGTTATCATGATTAAATCAACAAACAAGTGTTGGCGAAGATGTGGAGAAAAGGGAAGGAACCCTCATGCACTGTTGGTGGGATTGTGAATAAGGGCAGCCACTCCAGAAAACAGGATGGAGGTTCCTAAAATATTAAAAATACTAGAGGCCCAATGCACGAAGATTTGTGCAAGAATGGGCCTTCCTTCCCCTGGCTGCTGGCACCGCCTTGGCTCCAGCCAGAGCCGCCTTTTCGTCTTCACTCTGGCCCGGAGCCCATTTCCGCCTTCCCATGCTGCCCAGAGGCCCAGAGCACATCGCCGCCCCGGCCGCTCTGCACCTGCATATGCAAATTAACCCAACATCTTTGTTGGGTTAATTTGCATACTCACTCCTGATTGGCTGGTGGGCATTGCGAAGATATGGTCAATTTGCATCTTTCTCTTTTATTAGTGTAGATAAGTACCATAAATTCCACTTCTGGGTAGTTATCCAAAGAAATCCAGAACACTAATTTGAAAAGATATATGCATTCCCTATGTTCATGGCAGCATTATTTACAATAGCCAAAATATGGAAGAAACCTAAGTGTCCACTGATAGACAAATGGAAGTGGTACATCTACAATGGAACATTACTAAGTCATCGAAAAGAATAAGATCTTACCATATGTGACAACATGGATGGACCCAGAGGGTATTATGCTAAGTGAAATAAGTCAGAGAAAGACAAATAAGCACCATATGAATTCACTTATAAGTGGAATCTAAAAAAAAAAAACAAAATAAATGAAAAAACAAAACAGACTCAGAGATACAGAGAACAAACTGATGGTTGCCAGATGGAAAGCAGGTTTGGGGGCTGAGTGAAAAAGGTGAAGGGTTTAAGAAGTATAAATTGGCAGATACAAAATAGTCATGAGTATGTAAAGTACAGCATAGGGAACATAGTCAATAATATTGTAATAACTATGTATGATGTCAGGTGGGTACCAGACTTATTGGGGGATCACCTCATAAGTTATATAAATGTCTAACCACTATGCTGAACACATGATAGTAATATAAATAATTGACAATTTTTTTAATTTATAAAGAAAAGAACTTTATTGGATTCTAACCCCTTTCAGAAATTCCCATAAAAGTAATTGAACTCAGATCCCAATCCTAACTCAGTGTTGACATGTAAAATAGTGTTTTTCATATCTCAAGTCTAAAATCATGTTATCTGTTGTAGACAGTTTTAGTGGAACAGACTGCAAAGAACCTTAGAAATGTTAATTCTGTTATATCTGACATATTGAGAATTTTTGGTATTCAACCCAAGCTTTGCATTTTCTTTGCAATTTTCAAAATGCACAGCCTCATGCTCTCTTTCAAAACTCTGGCATTATTCAGAAGCAATTACGAAGAAAAACGAAATTACCTTTCGTCATTCTATCTATTCAGGGCCTTAGAAATGCAGACTGACAATGAGCTGACAATTATTTTCAATCCACTTTCAGTTAATTTCACTATAAATTGAGCCTGAGGACTGGTGACAAATAAAATATATTATTCATCTGAAAACATTCTCTTTGGGGCTACAGATCTTCAATTTATTTCATTAGTGATCAAGATCAAACTAAGTTGAAAATTGATTTATGCAATAGTTATCCCTCTGCAATAATTAATTAGAAAAATAATACTTTGATAGAGCTTTGAAAAGGAGCAGTTTCTAAGGCTCTTTGATAAAATAGAAAACTTTAAAAATAATTATGAGGCAGTGTTCCTAAGGGAGTAGATATGCATTGCCCTTGCCTATTTCCATATGTCACCGGACTTAAATCGCAGTCAGGAAAAGCTCCTTGAATCTCAATTCAGTTCATCTAACAATTTTTAGTATACACTACATGCCAGGCACTGTGTGCTAAGACTGTGAGTATTACAGAAATGGAGCATCCTCAATGAGTGAACATGGTCAAGTAACTATTCACTGTCTTAATAAATGCTGCAATAGACATAATAGCAAAATGTTTTTGTAGTCATAGAGGCTCCAGGGATCAACTGTTTGAATCACTGGGGAATGCTTCATAGGATAAAGTGGCGTTAGAACTGCTTCTAGGACAATGAGCACATTTTCAATTGGCTGAAAGAAAGGGCTGTGGGCTGGAGGCAATTTAAGCACAATTCTAGGCAGCCAAGAATAATATAAACAATTACAAAGAACTAGAAAAAAATCCAGGTGGATTGCAGAAGTGAGAAATCTAGAGTGGCTGTGAGAGGTTAAGAGAGGAAGATGTATTGAGAGTAGATTGTGAGGGAGAAATTTAAAGTCCACAGACTATCCTATATAATAAAGAGCTAATATGCAAATTAACCTTCATGCCCTCACAAGATGGCTGCCTTTGACCAGGCTGGCAGGGGGGTTAGTTAGGGATGACCAAATGACTGAACAAGCAGGCTGCGTGAGGCGACCAGGCTGGCAGGGGGGCCATGAGAGGCAACCAGGCTGGCAGGGGGGCAGTTAGGGGTGACCAGGTTGGCAGAGGGGGGCAGTAAAGGGTGACCAGGCTGGCGGGGGGGGAGGCAGTTAGGAGTGACCAGGCCGGCAGGAAGGGGCAATTGGGGGTGACCTGGCCATCAGCGGGGGGCAGTTAGGGGCAATCAGGCCAGCACACAGAGGCAGTGAGGGGTGATCAGGCTGGCGGGGGGGCAGTAAGGGGTGACCAGGCTGGCAGGGGGGGCAGTTAGGGGTGATCATGCCAACATGCAGAGGCAGTGATGGGTGATCAGGCCAGCAGGGCGGGGGGCAGTTAAGGGCAACCAGGCAGGCAGGCAGGTGAGTGATTAGAAGCCAGCAGTCCAGGATTGTGAGAGGGATGTCCAACTGCCAGGTTTGGGCCTACACCAGCAGTCGGACATCCCCCGAGGGGTCCTGGATTGGAGGGGGTGCAGGCTGGGCTGAGGGCCCCCCCTCCCATGCACGAATTTCGTGCACCAGGCTTCTAGTTTTTAATAAGTTGGTTTTAAAGTCAGAAGCTGTGTTGCTCAGATGTGATAAATCTGGTGGTAGTGCATGGGATTGTAATTTTTCTGGTGAGAGGCAATAAAACATTGTAGGATAAGAAAATAAGGATGCAAAAAGGAACAGAACTTGTGAATCATTTAGTTCATCCCATGGGAAGTCAAGGCATATTGGGGTCAGAGGTTGGAAGGATCTATGGGTGTTGATGGTATGGAAGTTGTGAGCAAGAGATGGTGATGAAAATAACGTATGAATTAAATGCTAAAGTCTTAAAGAAGGGTGAGCGTGTCTTGGAAGGAGATAGAGGGGGAGGATGTTTCTTCACTCTTTGGCTCATTTACTTATTCAAAACCTACTGCACTGGGTACTGGGAAAACAGACACCAACAAGACACATTAAATCAACAGCTTTGATCAAAGGGGGAACACATTGTCTTCACTTAGGGGAAAATTGCAAAGTTAGATAACACAACTAGAAAGTGGGAAGTCATGGAATTCAGAATAATGTGTACAGGTAACGAGACCTTGTAAAGAAATGTGGGGAAATGCTGCTACAACTCCAGCTTCATGTCACTTTTCCAGGCAGGAACACAACAGAAAAGGGCAAACAATGTGTATGCTGTCTTACCAATTTTGAAGGATTTTTCCTAGAAAACATCCACTTACATTTTATTCTCAGAATTGGGTCACATGTCTATGGTAATCAGCATGGCAGGCTGGGAAATGGAGCATTTAACTGAGCACATTTTTCAGCCAAACAGTTCTGCTAGAAAGAAAACAAGAAAGAATGAATGTTGTATATAGACAACTAGAAAGTACATTTTGCATATTTAAATATATTTTAATACTATCTCCTGGTTGATAGAATTCTGGGTTAAAAATACTTTTTCTTTAGAATTTTGAATGCATGATCCACTGTGTTCTAGCTTCTGATATTACTCTTGAGAAATGCCATTCTGATTCTCATTTCTTTGTTATGTGACCTGATCTTTCTCTGTAAAATCTTAGCATCTTCCCTTATCTCTCGTGTTCTAAAATGCCATGGTAATGTGCTTTGGTGTGGCTCATTTTCCCATTCATTATGCTTGGTATTTAGAGGGTCCTTTCAATTTGGACACCCCTTTATTATTTCCTGGAAAACCCCTCCCCTATTGTCTTCTACTGGATGTCTGACCTCCTGGATATTTCTTGGGCTCTATCTTCCAATTCTGCTATTGAATTTTTGTTATCATTTTAACTCCCCAATAACTTTATTTTTAAATTCTAATTATTATCCTATATAATAAAACCCCAATAGGAAATCGACTGAACAGTAGAACGACCTGTCACTATGATGCACAATGATAACCAGGGGGCAGACGCTCAACACAGGAGCTGCCCCCTGGTAGTCAGTGTGCTCCCACAGGGAGAGCTCCATTCATCCAGAAGCCAGGCTCATGGCTGGCAAGCACAGTGGCAGTGGTGAGAGCCTCTCCTGTCTCCCCTGCAGGCAGACAGTAAGGAGCAAGGGGTCCCAGACTGCGAGAGGGTGCAGGCCAAGCTGAGGGACACCCCCCCCCCCAGTGCATGAAATTTCATGCACCAGGGCTCTAGTTAATTATAATTAGTAAATATCTATAATTATATAATTAAAGTATACAAGGCTGTTAAATGAGGTTTTAAAAATAAATTTGGAGTTTTGGCTGAGGCTCAAAGCCCAGAATGAAATGTAATCCCATATTTCAAAGGAAGATGCTAGACCATTCACACAAGACTCACTATGAGACAATAAGACAAGTCCTGAGCCTTGGCCCACCTCCCATCTCTAGCCCATACATAAAGATAAATAAACACACGAATAAACAAATAAATAAAAAGGCAAGAGACTCTTCAGTCTGTGGGGGTTTTTTAAGAGTTACACATGAGAGTGTGAACATTTAAAATGGATGTTACTTGCTTGGCCAGCATGGCTCAGTGGTTGAGCATTGACCTATGAATCAGGAGGTCAGGGCACACGCCTGGGTTGCGGGCTCGATCGCCAGTGTAGGGTGTGCAGGGGGCAGTCTATCAATGATTCTCTCTCATCATTGATGTTTCTATCTCTCTCTCCCCCTCCCTTCCTCTCTGAAATCAATAAAAATATATATACATATTTATTAAATCTTTATTGTTCAGATTATTACAGTTTTTCCTCTTTTTTCCCCCCATAGCTTCCCTCCACTCAGTTCCCACGCCACCCTCTGCCCTTACCCCCTCCCCCAACTGTCCTCATCCATAGGTGTACGATTTTTGTCCAGTCTCTTCCCACACCCCCACACCTCTTCCCCCCCCCCCGAGAATAGTCAGTCCACTTCCTTTCTATGCCCCTGATTCTATTATATTCACCAGTTTATTCTGTTCATTAGATTATTTATTCACTTGATTTTTAGATTCACTTGTTGATAGATGTGTATTTGTTGTTCATAATTTGTATCTTTACCTTTTTCTTCTTCTTCCTTTTCTTAAAGGATACCTTTCAGCATTTCATATAATACAGGTTTGGTGGTGATGAACTCCTTTAGCTTTTCCTTATCTGTGAAGCTCTTTATCTGACCTTCAATTCTGAATGATAGCTTTGCTGGATAGAGTAACTTGGTTGTAGGTTCTTGGCATTCATCACTTTGAATATTTCTTGCCACTCCCTTCTGGCCTGCATAGTTTCTGTTGAGAAATCAGCTGACAGTCGTATGGGTACTCCCTTGTAGGTAACTGACTGCTTTTCTCTTGCTGCTTTTAAGATTCTCTCTTTGTCTTTTGCTCTTGGCATTTTAATTATGATGTGTCTTGGTGTGGTCCTCTTTGGATTCCTTTTGTTGGGGGTTCTCTGTGCTTCCTAGACTTGTAAGTCTATTTCTTTCACCAGGTAGGGGAAGTTTTCTGTCATTTCTTCAAATAGGTTTTCAATATCTTGCTCTCTCTCTTCTTCTGGCACCCCTATAATTCTGATGTTGGTACGCTTGAAGTTGTCCCAGAGGCTCCTTACACTATCTTCATATTTTTGGATTCTTTTTTCATTTTGCTTTTCTGGTTGGGTGTTTTTTGCTTCTTCGTATTTCAAATCTTTGACTTGATTCTTGCAATCCTCTAGTCTGCTGTTGGAACTCTGTATAATATTCTTTATTTCAGTCAGTGTATGCTTAATTTTTAGTTGGTCCTTTTTCATAACCCCAAGGGTCTCACTAGATTTCTTCAGGGTCTCACTACATTTATCGAAGGTTTCTAGAAAATTCTTGAAAAACCTTAGAAGTGTGGTTTTGAACTGCATATCCAGTCGTTTGCTTTCCTCCATTTCTGTCATTTGTGACCTGTTTCTTTGTCTCCACATTTTTTATGCTTCCCTGTGTTGGTAGCGTGGTTTTGTGTGCTAGGTGTCCTATAGGGCCCAGTGGCTCAGCCTCCCCAATTACCTGAGGTGGACACTCTTGGTGCATCCCTTTGTGGGCTTTGTGCACAGTCTTGTTGTAGTTAAGCCTTGATTGTTGTAGATATCACTGGGAGGAATTGACCTCCAGGCAAATTGGCTGTGAGAATCAGCTATGTCTACAGTGGGAGAACTTCTGTGCTGGAGACACCCTTAGGGGCAAGACTTGCTTCAGTGGGGCTTTGGTGCTCACTGAGTCTGCCCCCTGAATGTGTCCCTTATGGATCTGAGGAGTTGTAATCTGGATGGTCCCACTCTAACCACTGGGTACACTGGCTCTTGGATCTCAAAGGAGGTGCTAATTTAGTCTCTGCCTGAGGCTACCCAGCAGGAGCTATGGAGAGATCTGCAGATTCCTCTTCTTTGTTTGGGATTTGGAGGTGTCCAGATGAGGCCCAGCTGTGAAGCAATGCAGCCTGCTGTAGGGCCTTGGGCCTTCTTTTGGATGTTCTGGGTCTCCTGACCCAGCTGCAGCTTGTTAGGCAATTTTAGATTGCAAAGGGCGAGGCCGTTCATAGGCAAAAGCCTCTGCGCACAGCTTGGGTAGGGCGAGGTCTCAGGGAACCAATGGGGCGGAGCAAACAGCTATGGCTGATCCTCAGCCTTGCCCTAAGAGGCCCCAGGTCTCAGAGTCCCAAGGTAATCGCTGCCAGCGCCTCTGAGAGAAAGCCACCCTCGAGTTCCGACCGATGCCAGACAGTCCAGTTTCTCCCCATATGTCCCCAGAGACTTGCCCGGAACTGGAGTTCAGAGCAGTCGGGAGCTTTGTCTCCCTCCCGATTGAAAAAGATAACTGCGTCCTCAGTTGCCAGCCCTTTCCGCGTGCGCCTCCGTACCTCTGCACTTTACTTCCGCACCTCCTCTGATTCTCAGTGTGCTTTTTTCTTTCCTTCTAGTTGTAGAATTTCCACTCAGCCAGCCTTCCTGTGGTTCTGGGTGATGTCCGTTTTGTCTTGTAGTTGTATTTTTGACATGGTTGTGCGAGGCTGCAATTTCCGGTGTTTACCTATGCCGCCATCTTGGTTTCTAATAAAAATATATTTTTTAAAAATGAATAAATAAAGTGGATGCTACTCCCCACCACTTGGGCCAAACAAGGAGAGGTTTCAAGACACACTCAAGATCTGGGATTCAACAAAAACAACAAGAACGTCCACTGCATGGGAGAACATATTTGCCAATGTTATCTCCGATAAGGGTTTAATCTCCAACATTTACAGGGAACTCATACAACTTAACAAAATAAAGATAAACAACCCAATCAAAAAATGGGCAAAGGACCTAAATAGATACTTTTCGAAAGAAGACAGAAGAAAGGCCAAGAGAAATATGAAAACATGCTGAAAGTCACTAATCATCCGAGAGATGCAAATCAAAACGACAGTGTGGTACCATCTCACACCTGTCAGACTGGCTATCATCAACAAATGATAAGTGCTGGAGAGGATGTGGAGAAAAAGGAACCCTTGTGCACTGCTGGTGGGAATGCAGACTGGTGCAGCCACTGTGGAGAACAGTATGGAGTTTCCTCAAAAAATTAAAAATGGAACTCCCATGTGACCCAGTGATCCCTCTTCTAGGAATATATCCCAAGAAACTGGAAACACCAGTCAGAAAGGATATATGTATCCCTATGTTCATAGCAGCACAATTCACCATAGCTAAGATTTGGAAACAGCCTAAGTGCCCATCAGTAGATAGGTGGATTAAAAAACTGTGGTACATCTACACAATGGAATACTACGCTGCTGTAAAAAAGAAGGAGTTCTTACCATTTGCAACAGCATGGGTGGAAATGGAGAGCATTATGTGAAATAAGCCAGTCAGAGAAAGATAAATATTACATGATCTCACTCATTTATGGACTATAATGAACAACATCATCTGATGAACAAAAACAGATCCAGAGACAGAGAAACATTGATCAAACCATCAAACCTCAGAGGGAAGGTAGGGGGTGGGGGTAAGGGGGAGAGATCAACCAAAGGACTTATATGCAAGCATATAGGCCTAACCAATTGACACAGACAACAGGAGGGTGAGGGCATGAGTGGGGGGGATAGAGGGGTAATGTGGGGATAAGGACACATACGTAATAACTTAATCAATAAAGAAATTTTTTAAAAAAAGAAATCGCACACACACACACACAGATCCAGGATTCACTGCCATGAGTGGAGACCAACAACTCAGCCCCCAGGCTGCTTCTGCTATGCTGCAGAAGCCTCTGGGCCTGATATGCTGCAACCTGAACAAAGTGTGGAGGGGCAGAGAGATAGTGTCTTCTAATCACCTGGGGCTGTCTGGAGATGCCTGTGTAGAACAAAGAAGGGACTAGAGTGGAAATGGTCTGAACTTCCATCGTTACATTGCACAGAGATCCATGAGTCTTTTCCACAACTCTGGGAAACCAGCGAAGTATAAGTGAGTTTGAAATGACTCCACCCAAGAGTTCTGCATTAGCAGAATGAACTTGTATCAGGAGTAGGTGGAAAGAGAATTAAGGGAACATCGTAAGACATCAGCTGCATGGTGCTCCCTGAAGTTAGTGTGGGGAGAACAGTGCAAGCCCAGGAGTCCCATAAGACAGTGCGCAAAAAAATGCACTTCACAAGCACCTCCACCAGAAAGGGACAGCTTTGGCACACGTTCCACACAGAGGCCTCGACGCTAGGCCCAACAGCCACTCAAATACCATTTTCCTCTTCTCTAATTCCAGTTTCCCTTGGCATGACACTGGGGGTGGGGAAAAGCATTAATTAGTAAATTAGGAAGAAGTGGGGTGAGAGAGAGAAAAAAATAGACCATGAACCCTTATTTCCATTTTGCAAAATTCAAGGTCAGACCAAAGCAAGGAAAGGGAGAAGGTATGAAATAGATAAAATATTAAAGACTAGATTAGATTGAACTTCTTAATATGTAAAAAGGAGGTTATTCTAATATACAAAAGTGCCCAGAAGAGACTTAGAATCTGCACAAGATATCATCCACGTGTGGAAGAAAGAAATTCTTTAAAAAGCAACTTTAAAGATCGATAGGAAGAAAGCCAAGTGGCTTCCTGCTTATACCGTAACAAATGTAACCAGTTTAACAAATTAGTTATAATAGCACTTTTGTGTTTTTTCTTCCATTCTCTTTGTCCTTGTAGAATCATAGTTTTCCATTACTTTATTTGGATTTCAGGATGGACATACATGTTCAGTCAACGAAACTTTTTTTTTTTCACCAAGAGCTCCTTTTCCAGGAAAGACTAAATTGACCTAGTGATATTCAAAATGCAGAATCAATAGATGACAAGATAGTCACCATTTCCACTTAATACTGAGCATATTCCCCTCACATAAGCCTACTTAGGAGAGAACTTAGAACTTGTAGCTACCATTTGAACTTCTCTGAAGATAATCATTGACTGTCACATCTGCCACCTTGTGGCCACTCTAATGCACACAGTGTTTGAATACTACCACATTTTACACTTTCCACCCCTTTACCCATCCAGCCATCATCCAGCCAGCCATCTATGCACCCATCCATCCGTGGCGCACTTGTGCAAGGCAGGCTCTGAGCATGCAGATAAAACACACACAGCCCTTGTCCTTTCTTGAGGAGCTATAGGGAAAAAACATATTTTGTTGCATATATATATATTTCAGATTTCAGAGAGAAAGGGAGAGATAGAAACATCAATGATGTGAGAGAATCATCCATCAGCTGCCTCCTGCATGCACCCTACTGGGGATCAGGTCTGCAATCCGGGCATGTGCCCAGGCTGGGAATCAACCATGACTTAGGTCCATGCTCAACCACTGAGTCAGTCACACCGGGAGGGCATGTTTTGTTTTCTTTTGTTTTTTGAGGGAGATTTGTAAGAGCCACACTCTAAGGTTCAAGTCTGTATTTTCAATCTTTTTTTTTTTTTTTTGTCCCTCAACTGGCTTCTGTACTGTGCTAGTAAATTAATTTTTAAAAAAATATTTAAGTCTTTGCCATCTTCAAAAAAAGCCAAATGAAAACATTCTCCATCAATCATGCTGTTCCCAACCATCTTCTTTCTTTGATTCATAGTCAAATTCCTCTGTTCCTTCTTTCTTGCCTCTAATTCATTTTAGTGGTTGGTTTGTTTATCTCATTTTCAACATATCTTTATTATAAAATAATTGAAATATGCAAAAATAAAAATATAATTACTCATCTATGAATCATCCACCTTTATCAAATATTGGCATTATAGCATAATTGCCTTAGATTGTCTTTCCCCAAGAAATAAAACATTACAGATAGAGTTGCTACTCTTGGGTCCTCCTTCCTGCTTTCTCCCCAGAGAAACCAGAATCTTGAGAATAATTCCCAGGCACACTTTCACACTACACATTTATGGATCCATAAGCATTGAATGAAAACTTAGCAAATCATTATGAAACTAGCTTTTCTTAAAAACTCAACTTTACATTTTTTCATATTTATCCATATTCAAACATGTAACTCTAGTTCATTTTCACCACTGTATATTAATTCACTGTATAACAATATCACAAATTATATGTCTATTCTTGTGATGACTATTTAGGTAGTACTATTTTTCTTAGTATTTTTCTAACAATGCTTGCCATGAACAATCTCATGCACATCTCTTTGTCCACATGTGTAGTTCTTGAGAAGAGGACCCTCTGTCCTTCCTCCCATTCTGGAAAGTGAGGAAGAACCTCCCCACAAGTTCTCTCCACTGAGGGTCTTTGCTGGCCCATCACATCTTCAACTGGCAACAAGAAGTGTGGCTACACCAAGCAATGGATTCAGACCTTGGTCCACACAACCTGAAAACAGAGGGGATTCATCCTCCAAGTTGATTGCACTTTGCATTGAGTCCACTTCTTAAGATCCAGAACTACAACAAGATCATTTTCTCTCTCTCTACTAATATAATTATGATTTATTTTTCTCTTGCTTTTTACTGCTCTTAAAAGATGATGCAATGATTCAACTAGATACTTTTAAGATTATAATTTTTAGGGTGATGCTTATACTTTTAGGTTATTTAAATGCCAATCTTATAAATTAACTAGAGGCCCAGTGCATGAAATCCGTGCATGGGTAGGTTCCCTAGTGGCTGCCAGCTGCCGGCTGCTGGCTGGGGCCTTCATTCTGCGCTGCCCCCTGGTGGTCAGCATACGTCATAGCAAGCAATCAAACTCCAGGTCTCCTAGTCGAACTCCCGAGGAGACACTTTGCATATAGCCTTTTATATATATAGATGACTTCCATGTTATTCTACTTGTTGGGAGAGTATTTTTGTTGATGTTAACATGTCTGATAAAATAATCCAGAAACCTGGCAGTAATTTTTGTCTTTACTAGGAAATGGGAAGATTAAAAAAAATAATCTACAAATGTATGAATCTTATTAGTAAATTAATTTCATCATCTGATTTTGAACTGAAAGTATAATGTGTCTTTGTTGTGTCTTTAAGAAGTCTCTCCTATGGATCACGTTTCAGTCTCTGTTCTAAAGTAATTTTGGATTTTCTCTCATTCAGTTTCACACGGACACTTGATGAAACTGTAATTCCTAGGATAATGTTATATAAATGTAGATTATTTCAAAGTGCATTTCCTGAGTCATTGCTTCCTTTCCCTCCATTTTCAGACAGTGGAAGGGTTGGATTCCAATTGTTGCTATTTACCAAGTCCCCGTAATTCGAACGGCAGTGGGAGTTGCACGTGAGCAATCTTGTCTCTGCGGACATTTGGAACTCAAATCCATTTCTACAGACCAGGGGCTGACTTACTCCAGTGGTAGCACAGCATGTTTGCCAAATAACGTTTCTTTAAGCCCTGATTGCTCTCACTGTGCTTAGGTGAAATCCAAGC